TTCCCGGCACCTATGACATTTAACAAATAATGTGCTGTTTTACCACGTGTTTGCATTGTCACCTGAGTCAACTGAGAACTGAGCTGTAAACAGAAGACCATTTGTCTTCTGTTCTCGTGTCATCGAACCGGAATCAATTATTGGGGTTTTCTGACAAAAATTCTCAGTTGGCAGACCCTCGTCCTTCGGGAAGAACTAAAGTCTGGTTCTGCACCCGATCTCTGAGCGGTCATGTTGGATTACCGTACCGTCGGACTATGAGAGTGAGGGAATAGAGAGTGCAACTGTGCTTGCGCATACACTCGGTCACTTTATTCCTGCCCTGCGGAGATGTCTAGTGTCCGTTCACACTAGCCGCCGTGACCGAAATTCGGGCTGGAGGACTTCATTTTATCAATACCGTAATCTATTTAGTGCTATATGTGACAGCATATTTTTTTATAGAATTAGGGTGACAAACGGGCACACAATCCGCATGAAAGTAAGTGCAATCATTATCATCATCATCATCATCATCATCATATTATCATCATTATCATCATCATCATCATCATTACAGCCCTTCACAAGTCCGTTGCTGAACATAGGCCTCCCCCAAGCAATACCACAAAGCACGGTCCCGAGCCACCTGCATCCATCGACTTCCCGCATGTCTTACCAGATTGTCACTCATCTAGTGGGGGCCGCCCCACACTTGCCTGCCGGTACGAGGTTGTTACTCGAGAACCTTTCTTCCTCATCGGTTGTCGGTTCTTCGAGTTATATGGCAGGCCTATTGCCACTTCAGCTCACTAATCGGTTAGGCTCTGTTGGTTCATCATCATCAGTTCATATTAGTCTATTGCTGGACAAAGATCCCCCATTGTAGTCATGGGTTGCCTTTATCGTCACGCTTGGTAGGTAGATTAGAAGACCGCAATACCAGAAGTTTTGCACTTATGACGGTGGTGCCCGTCGTCAGTATGGATATTTTAATGCCTTTCGGGGATATAAAATCACTGCATCACAAAACTAGTAATAATTTTAACTAACTAGTAGTATTTGGATTAAGCGCCATCTATCAAAATAAGTAGTAACTTTTATTTTTTTAACATCTGATGAAGTTACCTATAGATGGCGCAGCAAAAGTTGTTCTTTACGTCGATAGATGTCACTGATTATATACATTTAATCCAATAATATTTCGTTTAATTCAATTTATAAATTATTTGTACAAAGAGCTGTGGTAGCTCAGGGACTTAACGCTACCATATTATGTTCGGCCATGGGGGATAAACGTGAGAAAACCTCATGTTTAAGGAATAAAATATTGACAAAGACACCGTGTATAACTTTACTTTGCTATTAGTTTATAATAGTATGGCTAAACAGTTATATCAGCTCATCAGATCAAAATTAATGATATTTTATTACACACTCAATTACTCAAGAGGCAAAATATTCTTTTGTTTCAGATCATGATGCAGTTTAATACTAGTATGACATAACATAGGTAAGAGATATCAAAGATATCAGTAGGTAAGTTAGGTTACATTTAAGGTATTGTGAGAGACAATAAAACATTTCTGTATTTCAGAATTTTATTTTAATTGTGATTTTGATGTCAACAATATGTTACAATAGCGTTTGTGATGACTGGACCTACGAACTCACAGTTTGGTTTGTGTTATTGTAAAAAATACATATAAAAATAGTTTACAAGATATTTTCAACAATATCGATACTTAATTATTTTAACAATTAACAATTAATTAACTTTAATAATGTTTTAAGATGACTGATTGTCTTTCATATTTAAAGTATTAAAAAACCTTAAAAACCAAACCATGTTATCATTGTACCAAGCCCCAAATCGTAAATATGGCAGCGACGAACCTTACAATAGTAAGTACGAGGACTTATTTGACTTGTATCAGGACTACATCACGCGTAATAACAAACTTCTATTCGTAATTTTATTATAGCTCACTTATATGTTACACATTATGGCACTGTCCTAAACGTAATCAGTATTTTGAAATGTTAAGCACTTTTTGTAATATATTATTGCTATTCGACGATAGATGGCGCTGTGCACACAGTTTTGTCGAATAAAAGTTTGTTATTCATATTTAATATTTCTTTACACGTAAATGCGTAAAATAATCTCAGTCCACAATACTATTGTGCTACTATATACATCGATTAAAGGTTTACAGAAGCGAATCCTACATAACTAAAATCCATACTGAATATCGGAATACCTCGTATTATTAAACAGTATAAATAAATGTATTAATACTTAAACTAAAATTAAATACATTAAAAGTAATACAAAATAGAAAATAATACAGATCTTTGACTCGACGTACTTATATGCCTAAAAGTAAGTACTGTTACAATATGACCAAAATTATAAAATGTTATCTTGAATAAATACTCTTAAATTAAGAAGGTAATAAGAGAGCATTACATACAGTGGAACGACTCTATGAGGACATCACTATTTGCATTTTTTTGTTATTACTAAGATTTTTGATTGGATGCGTGTTTTTTAAGCCATGTCTTTATTTTATTCACGATTTTCGTTTTTACAGTTTTTTTTTTTTACAATATGCTAATGCGTGACATTGCGAAGCTTTTGGGAGATTATGACGACAGCTCAACCCAGTTAAGAGTCGATGACGACAATCACTTAAGTTCATAAGGCGCTTTAGCGATCAAAATAACTAGAGTTTGTATTAATATCTAAGCACTTGTTTCATCGTTTTCTCTAATATTTCACATGCGCAGACACTTAAATATTGTTTAAGTGCTAATACACAAAATAGCATCATTTTTACGAATCTAAATCCACTTCAAAACATTATTAAAACGACAAAACAGGAGCAACAATCCGTCGACGGTCAAACTCCCGATTAAACTTTATTTTTTAATTATCAAATAAAGTCACGGATAAAAATAATATACTATATTATTTGGAACAGGCAACTATAGATTATTATCAAACAGCCATTGTTTATTGTTTCTAATAAGTATTATTTGTACCTTTTAAAGTATGTTCGAAAAATTTCCTCACCAATTCTAAACTGTTCATAATTTTGTATAAATTATTTAATAAACAAGTCATTACAATAAATATCATGTTAATATATTTTGCATTTTAATTGAGTTATTTGAATAACTATTGCCGTTAAACGCCGTTACGTCATTTAATGAGACATAAATAATAATACATTAAAATTTCAAATAGTGATGTCCGAAGAAGTAAAAGTTGGTTCCGCTTTTCCATCAAACATAACGGTAACTATTTTACATTAATATTTTATATAAAAGTTATAAATTCGGTTGTCTTCTTATTTCAGTTGTCTTAGAATGTAAATTTTCATTTATAAACTGACGCCTTTTGTTTAGTACTACATTGTGTATAAAGAAATTTTGATTTCTATAAATTCTATATTAGATAATTAAAAATCCGAATGAACTGAATTTGTACCCTTACATTCTATTTGCTATATATTTATGATAATTGTATTTTAGGTACATAATTCCTGATCACTATATTTTACAATTTAACATAGTGATTTCGGCAGTATTTATTAAAACTAGTATTCACGTAGGTATAATGAAAACAGGGATATATTGTTATTGAAATAAGAACGGGATTTGAAACTTAAATATAAGTCATGTGGATAAACTTATAATTTTTAATTTTAAACTCCAGTGTTGTATCGTTAGATTTTTTTTAAAAATTCCATAGTAATTATTAACAAAGATGCCCATGCGATGCACATTTGACTTAAAGTTTTTTTCGATTCAATAAACTTGCCATATATTAGCGGTTAGACGATAAGGCACAAATAAGTAAGGCGTCGCTTCGGACCGTAGTTAGAGGCAAGAAGCGTAATATAGAATAGAATAGAAATGGGTTCCAAAAATAAATACATATAAATACATCTACCGATAGTTACTCCTGACTCTAGCATCGGTAACGTTTGATATATATTGTTGTGCCGTGTCGTGTCACTAGACAATCTTCATTATTGATTACGAATTTAGATTTAAGTTGTTTCTTGATTGGTCGGCGAGAAAACAACGTAATATAAGTTTGACATATATCTAGTTATATCATGTGTCATATTTTAAAACACTCGCAGGGGATGCATCGAAAGCAAAATGTTAGAAATAATTAATAATGATGTTAAAAATGTTAAAAAAGTGTAAAGTGTATGCGTATATAATATTTCTATGATCGATTGTCTTTAATTCGAATTGTATATGAAGTTATAAATGAATATATCCCTTGAGGATACCTTACTAAATAGAAATTACTAAATGTTATTAATGGCCTCTTTGCGAATTTGTATTGCATATTCACTTGCATTCATGTAAAGTTGTTCGTAATAATATTTATGTATATCCGTATATCGTAAATATAGGTTAATCACAGTTCTGACTTCATTTGATCATATTACGAATGTTGAAAGTGTAGCACGCCGCGTTGATTAATGTCGACAAATCAAGAGATGTAGAGTGGTATCGATATCGATAAGATCTCGATAAGGCGGTCGCATTACTGCCGTACATAATCAAGAAACAGCTTAAGAGCCGTTTGTAAGGTTTGATTTTGATTATTACTTTGGTAATCTGCTCACTTATGAAAATTATGGTAGATCTTTTTTTTTTTTTATAAAACGTAACCACCACACTAGGATTTTCCGCTGTATCGTTGAAGCAGTTACCATACATAAATTTCATAAGGACAAACATCCAAACCCTGAACAATTATTTGTAGGCCATACAAATACTTGTTCCGTACGGGATTCGAGTCACGGAGCCGCTTTTATTAGCTAATATACTCTAAGGAAGCTTTATATCCTCCGTTTGCGATTTATTTGATTCACAATTATTTGAAGTTATTTTTTGCAGCCTAAATTAGAAACGACACGTCACAACAAAACTAAACTAAACCGGCTGTATTCCGTGAATTTGTTCAAAGTCCAAACGGTTCACTGGCACGGTCAGGTGTCGTCGTCCTCTTCCAATCTTCTGTTCTTCTTCCTATTTCTGTGTCTTTCTAGACGCTTCCGATGCGCGGACTTACGGTTAGGCGGTTTAATTTGGCACTCACAACCGGCGCGAACTATAACATAGTCCATGGACCACCCACCTGGGACGGAGAAATGGCCCTCGTTCCGATGTCGGTGGGGCACCTCGGTGGTGTAACGGACTAACGCGTAGGAATACGAATACTTTTGCACGCATTTAGAGTGGTTGTAGAGACGCGCGTCAACAAAACGACACGGCATGTCCTTAACGCCAGGCGCACATGAAAGTTCGTAAAGTCTTTGCGTATTCTCGCCGTCCTTGTACAGTTCTACGTAGAGGCCGGAGGGCGTTTTGCCACCCTTCGTCTCTACCATCTCGACTACTGAGGGGCAGCACTCGACTTCGTCTTTCTGCGAGCCCTCTCGCCGGAGGATGGACTGCATCTCTCGCCAGTGTGACCGCTTCCAAGCGGCCGTCGCGTCCATCTCCTCTTCCGTTCTGAAAGTATTAATTATCGGTTTTTACATTTATAAAATATATTCGATATATGTTAGTGTAGGTGAAGAACTACGCTCTAGGAGAATATCAGCGTAAAATAGCAGATTAATGCTGCTGTGTTTCGTATGGTGACTGTAGAGAACCGGAGACACTTTTTGTTGGAAACTCGGGGGAGAAGTCTTCACCGAGGCATTTGTGCCTATTGCTAACTTTATATTGTCCACAGGCTACTCCCCTAAGAGATGGAAAACCGGCGTGTGCATCTTCCTGCACAAAGCTGGCAAAGATCATCGCCAGGCACTATCGTACCGCCCGATTACACTGCTCAACATAATGGGCAAACTGTGCGAGCGACTGATCCTGAGACGACTCACCGCTACGGTGGACCGGCTGCAACCACCGTTCCAACACGGCTTCACAAGGGCCAGAGGCACAGCGACGCAGATCCTTCGCACCGGTAAAATAATCACAGATGCCCTGGCCAACGGCGACAGCGTCTCCATGATATCAACAGATCTCTCGAAAGCCTTTGACTCGATTAACCACAAAGGCTTGATCAAAAAGCTACAAGACAAAGACGTACCCACTAACATCACAAAAATTATAGAAAACTACATTGCAGGCAGACAACTGGCAGGTTTAGAACAACTGAAACAGAGGAGAAACCTATACTCCATGGCATGCCTCAAGGATCGATCCTGGGACCGGTGATTTTCAACCTGTATATCCATGACATCTGGGACATACATGACAGAATTAAGGGGCTCAAACTCTCACAGTACGCGGATGATCTCTGCATTCTCAACAGAGCCACAAACCCAGACCACGCAACCATGCGATCGGAATGGGCAGCAGAAACCATTATTAACTATACGCTAACACTATTGAATATACGAGATGGGGACTCAAATGCAACATAGAGAAAACCGAGTGCATTATGTTCTCAAAGAAAAGTAAATACCGCCCAGCGGTAAAATTAAAACAACAGCTACCATACTAAAACCAGATCAAATACCTCGGCGTGGTCTTCGATAAACGCATGAGAATGAATCGACACACCGAAAAGGTAGTGAAGAAACTGAAACGGGTCAGAGGAGCCCTTGGCCCGATAATTGGATACTACGCAAAAACTGATCTAGAAACCAAACTGGCCATAATACAGGCCTGCATTCAGCCACTGCTAGACTACGGAGTGGTCCAACTGCTATCGAGGTACAGCGCGACGAACCTGAGTAAAATCGAAAGACAATACAGAATGGCACTCAAGAGTGCTGCCCAACTACCGAAAAGAATATCCACAGAGGCGCTATGGGAGATGGCTGACATAGAAGCCTGGCACCTACGTGCCGAGGACATAAATCAGAAGATGTTGGACAACATTGCCCAGCTGGAAATAGAAGACCTAGAATCCCCCCGGTGACGCCTACCTGGCGCACGGAGAATTCAATCCCCTCAGGACCAATCATAGAATAGGTGAAATTGTATATGATCTCAAGAAGAAAAATTACAAGCGATGGCCCACTGATAACACGGGAGCCCCGCGCTCTCTTAGGATAAGATAATTAAGGCTAGCAAATAAGTACACAAAAACAAATAAAATACATAATAATTTTATTGTATAAACTTTATTATGAATAAGCAAAACACAGCAAACAAAGATCCACCTAGGACATAAGTTAGCTGACTCACCCTCGCACGGTTCACCGGCCGTGAGGATGCAAATGTAAAGACACAAGTAGGCAAATAAATAATTTCTGATTCTGATTCTGATTCTATATATAGTACGGTAACATCGGAAATTTGATAGCGCGATTTAGGCTTCGGTGTGTTGGCGCGACCACAGCGCCGCCACACCATCCTCTTTCCGAAGGAGTAAGGCATTCTCCTGACATTTCCATAGAAGTTTCTCACAACATCCATGGTACAAAAAGGTCAATGGCTACTCTAACGCCACCACGGTTCCTGACTTAGTTCTTAGTACCATGCTCTTAACTATTTTCGACAAATAGCAGTACACCAACTGCCGTTTAGCCTCATCGTTTCGTGTGGGTTGTAAGAATATCTACTAACCCATATTATCCCGTGGGTGTCGTAAGAGGCGACAGAGGGAAACAAATCAGGAGATTGGTCTTCCAAATAACGACTGAAAATAAAAATAAACTGTGGTGGCCAACCCGCTAGCAATAAATCATTTTATGTAAGTATTCAAGAGTGACTTTTTGTGTAATAAGAGTTGCAGGTCTTTGAGGGCGAGCAGCATGTTATCAGTCATTACAATCATCATTTCCATAATGTTCTACTGGTGGACATTGACCATTTTTTAATAACGATTGACAAATAACATATAACAGCGAACCTTGTTTGACTTGTGTTGTGACTGACGCTGATTAATTGGAGAGTCAGTGATACGGGGACGTACACATTCCCCCACCAGATTTAAAAACCAAGAGTTAATCTTGTCCCGTGTGTGCATCAAAGGCGATTCTGGTATATGCAAATAGATGGCTCTTCGATTGGATCTCGTTTATGCCAGGCGTAACTCAGTACTTCACAGTTTAAGTTACGATTAAGGTATGATTACTCATACCGGTATCTTAAAGCAGTAAAGGTGTGTTATTACAGGCTAAGCTGGTGATTGAACGGCTACATTTGCCTAGCTGTTTGATCAAATAGCTGAATATCATTCAGGCTGCTAGTTGAACGACGCTGTTTAGTAAAGAGGCTGGGCTGTTGATTGAACGGCTAGTTAGTTGGCTGCGACATTAACATATTGTGTCAATGATACTATGCGTCTGGTACTGCGTTCGTCTATTCCCCTTCCAAGACCCCAGCTGCCTGACGATTAAGGCAAATCTTCTTTACAATGGGAGAGGCTCATGAGCAGAAGTTGACTTCAGCTGGCTGAAGAGAAAAGTATCCTTTAGCAGGACCGATACGACTTAGGGAGCAAGAAAAGAGCCTGCTCATTTTTACAAGGCCTGCAATTCAACTGCGATTCCCAGACTTAGATACCATCAGGTGATCAGCGAGCTCTTTTGCCCCCTCTTATATAAAAATTGTCATTTTGCTTTTATATAAGACTAAATGAAATTTGTTATCTCCGTCTTGTCTCTTCAGTTGCCAAGCGGAATTATTAAGGCAAACCTGTGGCCCATGGTCCATGATCAACAGTAATCTGATGCGGCTGATGAGAAGTATCCTTAAGCAGGATCGGGATCTACGATGTAGTAGCCACAGTTGCTGTAAGACAAGAGGCTAATGATCAGAAGTGGATTTCTACGGACTGATAAGGAGAATGGGATAATTCTGTATTCTTCAGCAGGACAGGAATCTAGGATGTAGTTGCCAGTTGCTGTTAGATATTAGGCCACATGGCCGCCATTTGCAATAGGTGCGACTGGTTGCGTGTGTGAGAATACGTTACAGCGGTGACTTACAGCACGCGGTGGGAGTGGTGCGGTTGTGCGCGTCGCACGCGGCTCGCGTTGCCCACCACGTCGCCCATGAGCTCGCCTGCGCCCGCCACTGCACCGCACAGCACCTGCGGGATAAAACTATAAAAGTTAGAATAGAATAGAATCTGTACTTATTTTCTCAACACTAATAAAACTATTTAGCCGGATTATATCGCGTTTCATTTTACGTATTATTAATTCTCGACGTTTCATCTGAAAGACAGAAGCACAGAAACACCTGCTTTGCAGCAACTGAAACGTCGAGAATTAAAAATACTGCGGTGATTGACGTCCCAATATCAAAGTTAACCTGGAGTACGTTCAGCTTTTTAATTACGAATTTTAGTCAGATCTACGCAGAATGAGTTTACTGTGTCTTGAAGTCTAGCAGTGGTACGTTTGGGTTTAGCATTTATTTTATTGATAACAGGTTCCCTAGCAGGTGGTAGTTCCCAGCTTCCTTCTCTTTTGAAATCAGGATGTGTTTTAATTTCAATAGCCTCATATATCATCCTTGGTTAGAATCTATGTTCTTTAGCGAGGATTTGTCTTCTATCAAATCTGATTTAATGGCGGTGACATGTTGGCAAACTGCAGATTTTCCGGATGGTTTGGTGTTTCACTATAACAGCTATATGTTCTTTTACGCAGGTTATGTCAAAATCAAGCCTGTATACTACTGTATTTTATAGGGGAACATTATACTCGACAGATGGCAAGACTTATCATCTTCTTCGGTGTCTTGTAGAACGTTTCAATCAAAGCTGCTTCAAGATGTAGCCAATCTTGTCAGTGATACTTCTGACATATGGTAGTTCAGCAGGCAGACGCTCGACTATAACCGGCTTCATTCGGTCTGTGAGAGCGTGGTTATTCCCCGGTCTGACCGACCGTTCGAGCTGCTGCAATTACGCACCTACAGTGTGTAAAATTTGCTTCGTATTTGTGACTATTGGACTAAATACTATTCCATAATATTAACACAAGACTTAAAATAGATAGAGGTAATAAAAAGATTAACAATAAGTATTCATAATGCTATTATATATTCCAGGAGGTATCAGATGGCGAAATGGTTTCGATACAAATTAGCGATTAATTCATTAGATTAGATTCGCGGAGGTACCTATAAGTGATTAGCTTGATTTATTTAAGATTTATAATGTATAACAATACGTAACGTCTGCGATCGAAGTGATGAGCGGAGCGATTTTGCAGGAATTTAAATTAATCTTGTTATTGTTAATAAAAGTAGTAGTATTGGTAGTAGTAGTATTAATTTTTTTTCTATATATTAATAATTGATTTTATATACTGTTTAAAATGGGGTGAATAGAAACCATAGGGTAGTCTGGTAATAATATTGAAAGTAGCAGTAGTGGCAATAGTAGTGTTATTAGCAGTAGTAGTAGTTTTTTTGTTAGAAAAAGAGGAGGAAATCTTCAAAAAGACAAAAGTCAAGTTGTAAGACCGGTAGTGTGGGATTTTCACCCACTATAACCTCCTCTCTCCTTTTTTTAAAATTTATTGTTATAAAGAGTGTACAGTGTACATTATTTACATTTTAAATTTTGCCATACCGTAAGCCAGTTTGTCGGCAAAAGTACCGACACACTGGTAAGCAACACGGGACCGCATTCGCATTACTTCAAGGTGCTGGTGTTCCTTCTCATCGCTTCTTAAAACGTTTCGAGAACAGATTGTCAGTGATGGGTAGAAGCTCTCAAAATGGAAAAAAATTGGAAGCGACTTACTTCAGTACAACGTAGGGGTACACTGAAAATAGCCTATGCCTAGTAGTCGTAGCAGCAGCAGCAGCAGTAGTAGTAGTAGTAGTAGTAGTAGTAATAGTAGTGGTAGTTGTATTAGTATTAGTAGTAGCAGTAGTAGTAGTAGTAAAAATAATATTGTACTAATGCAAATGAGGCACAGTAACTGAGGGATACACACTTAAAATCTCATTGTGGCCGTAGAAGGAAAAGGGGAGAACTCCCGCCGGGCAAGGTGTTCTACCCGGGGGGCGGCCAACGCTCCCATGTGTTAGTTCGAAGATGTTCTTTATATACTGTTTATGATTTGGAATTTTGATAGCGTAATTTAGGCTTCGGTGTGTTTCGCTTGCGGCGCGATGACAGCGCCGCCACATCACCCCCTGCTCAGACCGGAGGTCGATAGTGCAGTCTCGTTGTTGACGAAAGTGCAAGTGCCAGGAGATTGCCTTGTAGTCTGCGGTGAGTCGAGGAGAAGGCAAGTTATCTGCGAAAGTGCCGTGAAGCAGAGGCGAGCAGTATGGCTCAGAGCCGTGCCGAACACTGTAGCGCAGAGGGTAGCTTGAAGGAACAGAAAGCATTATTATTCCAGTGCCGCGATGAACCTTGTAAAGCTAGATGGCTTGCAGGATATGAAGACTGCCGACGATATCTGCTCGGGAGCGAATGGGTGGGATATTTTATGACGATCATGAAAACTTGAAGTTTCCGAGCTTGTTGTTGGTTGCGTGTTCAGATCACGTCATGGTTACCACTGTTGCCGTGGAAGGAAAAGGGGAGATCTCCCGCCGAACAAGGTGTTCTGCCCGGGGAGAGGCCTACACTCCCGTGTGTTAGTTCGGAGATGTTCTATATATACTGTTTATGATTCGGAATTTTGATAGCGTGATTTAGGCTTCGGTGTGTTTCGCTTGCGGCGCGACGACAGCGCAATCTTAAGCACATCTTAATTCGCAAGTTATAATTCAATCACCTTCGGCACTATTAAAACTGTTACCGCAGTTTTAAAGGTGCATTCTGTAATTCCGTTGGAAAATATCGGGAGTAAAGTTCCAGATAAATATCTGCAATGATAAGTACCCTTTCCGTAACTAACGGATGGAAATCATTGGGGGGACACTCTCTGTTGGAGCACGTACCCTACGCAATACTGCAGTTACCCGCATGCTGGTAGTACGGTGGTAGTATTCTACGGGTAGACAGACTACCCGTAGGATACGGTTGGACTTGCGGTTGACCGGATTGCAGGTAACCACAATCGCACCCACATCATTCGATTGGGGAACCATCTTGCAGCTAGGACAAACCATTTTCCAGATGAAAGAAGTCACAGCCATTTAATACATTGATGATGTATGCAAAAAGTAGCAATATAGAGAAGATATTTGATTACAATTATACAAAATAATATTAAAATATAGAAACAGAAACAGTAACAGAAACCTTCTATTCAATATAGATTAAAAATAATACTTATTAAAAGTCACTCTTTAGTCAGGAAAAACCCTCTGTCCTGGGAAGAACCAGTAAAAACCCAGCGGGATTTAGAATAACAGCTTACAATCCTGTATGTACATAATTATTCAACTCAAAACAAATTAGAAATAGCTTGGTAGCGATCATTTCATTCCCAGGAGTTATTATCATACATAAATTCTCTAATATGTATTATAATAACCCTTTTTATACAAACTTAGTTTAATAAAATTTTTGAACCTTGAGCACGTCAAATAACGTACGCACGTCATAAAAATATAACTTATACATATATGTATACATTTTTGAGTCATCAGAGAAGGAGTTCCAAGGATATTTCATTTGAAAAACTCGACTAAAATGGAGATAATACAAAACAGCCGTACCTATTATTGTCAATAGCCGAGGGTACTACAACCATTCCACCAATTGTCAGTGATATTAAACTGCCTGCACTTTCTATATTAAAAAAGTACTAATTTATTATAATTTCCTTTGATATTATTCTCTGTGACAGTTACTGAATATACCCTTTTAATTTTTTGGTAATAAAAACGTTTTTTTTTTAATATATTCCTATCTACTTAACTACGTGGACGAAAAATGAACATCAAAACCAGGAAGGCGACGTGAATGTGTCTTCATGGTTCACAAGGGTGAAACCGCGGGGCGCAGCTTATATACAAAAACAAACCTTAATTTCCTCTACATTCACTATTGTCAGATTGACGTAAACGCTATAATGACTTGCGCATTCCATTCATGTCGCACTAACAAACAAATAATCAGCACGAAAACGATAAACATGGCGCTAGACTTTGATAAGTGGACTAAAATATTACACGCTTTATATTACCTTAACCTGTATATATCTCATTGACTTATGTTGAGCTACCTCGTCGGTCTAGTTGCCGTAAATGCCGACTTATGAGGCCCCGGTATTGAATTCCGGATTGGGCCAAAAGACCTCGTTTAACAGCCCGGTGCAGCAAATTGCGGCTGTGTTTCACTCCCCTGCCTCGGAAAGTACGTAAAGCCGTTATTCCTGCGACTGATCTCTCTCTGGTCATGTCGGATTACCGTCAAATCGGACTGTGAGAGTGAGGGAATAGAGAGTGCACCAGTGCTTGCGTAAACACTCGGGCACTATAATTCCGTTCAGCGCAGATGGCTAGTCTACGTTGAGACTGGCCATGACTGAAACTCTCTGTCTGGAGGTCTGGACGACATTGTTACATATAACTGATGTATCTATGTGTGTTTGTATAGATTAAATGGAATTTTTTAATTTAATTCTCTCCCACGTTCGGACGTCTGAATTTTTAGATAAAAATATAATAATGCCTTGTATTCTTAGTGGGATCATCACAGCTCAGAGGACCAAAACGAATGACTCATGAAATGTAATCACGCTACCTTATATTTCGAACTGCAGTTTGGCTGCAGTCACCAAAGGAACAGGGGAATAACAAAGTTTGTTCAAATGAAGTGAAATGAAATGAAAACTATTTTTCGACGTAAGAAAATAAAATTCCATCATCCATTATAGTCTACGAAAATTCTATTACTGAACATAGCCTCCTCACTCCCTTTTCCCCAATAGAGTGCTTAATAGTAAGTGTTTGGAATAGTTGCTACGTTTGGCAAATGGGTTGGCAACCAGAGCTTTTTATAATTTTGTGTTGTTATCAGGAAGATGCTGCTGCCCATCTCCTGCTGTATCCCTCTGTCGCCTCTTACGACACCCACGGGAAGATATGGGGTAGTGGGTATTATTACACCGCAACCACAGTTATTCCTTTCATTCGTTCGTTCGTCAACAAATAAAAGGTGAGTTTACATACTAGTTTACTTTCAATAACGTAAACGATTACAAAATTTTTATTAGAATTATCATGAGTTTCGAGAATACATAGTAGTATCTGTTGATTTCATGTCAAAACTGTTATGGCAGGACGCGGCAAATTCCGTCTAGAGACACCTCGACCCATTTCTATCAATCTTGGAAGTCGGTGCGGCGCGTATTCTAAACACGGAACATTGTTACTTTGCTTTGTACGAGCTGTATGAATGTCGGACAATGCGGATGGAAATAGACTTACCATAGCTAATTGGAGCATTTTTATAATTTATTTTCCATAGAATAACCGTGGCAAACGGTCACACAGTCCACCTGATGGTAAGTGGATGTTGTGCCCATAGATTTGTTGTGACTTCTGCTAAGAAAATTTTAAATTTTCTTAAAAGTGTAATTGTTTTTACCCCGCTTTTTGATCTTCAATTTTTCAAAATTTTGAAAAATAGGTTTTTTTGGAATAACTTTTAAACAGCTTTACCAATCGATCCCAAAAACTAATCAGCTTTTAACCCTGAAAACCCACGTCGATCGCCGGAGGTCTGGTCAAAATCAGTTGATTCGTTCGTGGAATATCGTTAACGAAAAATTTTGAAAAAATTGATTTTTTTTAATTACTCCGATATTTCATATTCAACCGTCAATTATTATTAGATTTATTTAATTCCCCGGTTAAGCCGACCCATTCGTGCTACAACTGTACTAATAATATAACTGGAGCATGGCCTTACCACTTATAATTTATATTAATTGTTATTATGCTCCACCACACATTATAGTAACATCACTTCGGTTTAACGTCCCGTTTACGATTCACGAGTAGTTATAACGCGTTTATAAAATCCGGCACAGTTGTAACAACACGAACAAGATCGGATTTATCGGGTACGTCCGTCGTAAAATTCTATTTAGTAATATTTTTCGTATTACAAAGTGTTAAATAACAAGTTAGATGAGAGTCATGCGATTTCATTATTCCTCCCATTACAGTATATAAAAGCCCTCTGCAGAATATAGGCCTCCCCATCCGGGTTTGCCATAGTGCACGCTTAGTTGGTGGGTTAGTAAGCACATTTTTTATTATTTGAAATTGTTATCAGGAACGATGCTGCTGCCCATCTGCTGTTTCAAATTCCTTCTGTCGCCTCTTACGACACCCACGGGATGATATGGGGTAATTATAAGTACATGTTCTTTCACCGCCACTACACGTTGAAACATGATATAAAAAATATACATAACATAACATAAACACTCACGCCTGTCACCCAGAGGGGTAAGCAGAGACTATGGACTTCCATTTGGCACGATCCTGACATACCTCTTTCGCCTCCTTTACATCTATATATCTACGCATACATGCTCGTCGGTTAAGGGTACTTTTAACGTGGCCCCTTTTCAAAATATCGCCAATTTGGTCGATAAACTTTTTTCTAGGGCGTCCCTTCCCGACTCGGCCGTTCACATCTGCCATATAAATTTGCTTTGTCACTCTTTGCTCATGTAGAAAGAATGAATGAGGAAAGAGTGACAAAGCAAAAAATATACGTTTTAATGTAATTATTTTAACATAATTGCGACACATAACTTACCGTTTAAATTAATTCATACGTAACCGCCTATCAAAAGTCCCTCTCTGAACACACGTGGTATACGTGATAGAACTGTGCTGCAGCTATATTATGCTTGTAGACAGAATGGGCACGGCTGAGGAAGAACCACACTCTCAAACAATAGCATCATAAAATTGCAGCTTAATGTATTTTGCATGGTTGGTGTAGAACACCGGAGATTATTTTACTGGAAACGAAGGCTTCCATCGTCATCATCATCCTCAAGCTCAATAATGCACATTGTCTATGAGCCACAGCATCCACTTAACGACTGGGGCTCGGACTGTGGGCTCGTTTGTCAATCCAATGTCGATCCGAAGGACTAAGATGAAATGCCTTCATACCAGTAAAACGTGTCTGCGGTTTTGTCGTCACAGACCACACGGCAATAAATGTCCTCAAGACCGAATATCGGTCACGGCGAGAATTAGTCATCGGTGCAGGATAAGATTAAACTTAGTGAACAAGTGTACGGACAAGTGCAGGAGCACTCTTTGTGCCCTCATTGTCAAACTCCGATGTAACGGCAATCCGACACGACCAGAGATCAGTCTCAAGGTCAACGGAGAAATACCGCCAACATACTTTGGGCTGAGAATTTCTTGATATAAAACCCTAATTAAAAGGATACTTTGAAAATGAATCGTAGTTTTGGGGGCGTGGCTTATCCGTTTGTCGGTGAAGCTCACGGACGACAGAGGGAGTGTCAAAATGAAAGTGAAATGCAATGACTTCATAATACGCAAATTATGAGATAGCTATAGCGGGCACGCGCTCGGAATATAATATATATAATATAGGATAAACTAAGTAAGCGCCAAACAACATTTTTTTAACAAAACTTTGTTACGGAAAAAAAATGGTTTATGAGAACTTATAATTAAATAATTAAATTAAGAAAATAATTATTCTTAAAAATATTGTGGTGTTATGGAGAAATGTAATTAATTAGAGCCTATTTTGCAATTTTTTTCGATCGAGAAAATGACATGTTATCGTGTTTTCCTTTTATGAAATCCAAGATCATATAGTCAAAACTCATAAACCAAAAATTTGATTCGTAATCTATAAAACTTAAAAAAATAAAGGAAATAGAAAAACTACCAAATTTTTCGAGGTATTAATGGCCTTAATGATTTTGTTCTGAGTCGAAATTTAAACCTAAGACCACGTAATCAACATTCGCGCTAACGACTACTTGACCAGCGAAGGACTTTAAATGCTTTTCAAGGCATGAGGTTATTCAACGTCAACATCCAGGCTGGTACTGAGAGTTTCTCGACAGAAAAGCCCAAAGATGATGTTGCCCTAAACTGAGACTCAAACCCAGGATCAGCAGGCCTTACGACCTTTAGACTAGCAAATCAATAAATTATGACATTAGGAATCGAACCTTAAATTTAGTAAATGCCGGCGGTATCGTTTTCTGATATGAGATACGAGTATTAACAATATAAGATTCCAAACAAAACAAGTTCTGCGATAATAGATATATCATATAATCATAATATTTTATAATAATATTCGTTATCTTGGAGATTTTGCATTTTTTTTGTATTGATTTTTCAAATGTGTGTGAACGGATTTAAACGATTCAGTTGAGTTCGGTTTCTTACTACACTCTGAATATTAGTATCGATGGTTAGTGTATAATATGCATGTTTTATTCACGAAATCAATTAGCTGATCGATTTCCAATAGAACGGGAGCTGTCCGTATGTTGCTTCGGCGCTATAAATTCCGACAAATGACTGCTTATAATTCAGTGACGCGGAATATATAAAATTGGCACTTACTGAAACATAAATAAGCGTGTAAAATTATAGATAAGGTTCTTGATTGAAATGTTACATTTAGGAAATGTGTTATAGATTAAAAGTAATAAGAATGAGTCAATAAAAGACGCACATATATTCAGCGGTAATTATGACGTAGATATATGATTTGTAAGTGTGCTTCAAACTCTTAGGTGAAATAAATTTAGAAAAAAATTATTGTTAATACAGCCCGTTACCACGTGCTCGGCGGTGAAGGAAAACAACGTGAGGAAACCTGCATATCTGAGAAATAAGACAAAAACATTTCGAAGACAAGTAAATTTCGCCAACACGCATTGACGAAGCGCGGCGCACACTTCCTTGCCCTAAGACCCTCTCAGAAATGAAGGGAGGCCTATGCCCAGCTGTGGGACATATATAGGCTGTAACTTTAACTTTTTAATATTAAGCTGGTTTATTGGATAGGTATAAAGATCGTGATGACGTTATCGTCTTTCGATCGCAGCCTCGCATT